TCCATTCCAACACTGTCTTAATATGTGTATTTTATTGATTTTGCGTTTGACTTTAGACACTTTTTACGATATGCTGCACATGTCACTTATTTTACTTGTTGCGTGTGTAGTTCCGGTTATAGACACTTTCTTTCCGTACTTGCAAATATTGATTAGTTTATCCTCTTGAAAGGAATCTTGGAAGTTGGAACAGTTACTTTCCATTCCGACACTGTCTTAACTTGTGTATTTTATTGATTTTGTGTTTGACTTTAGAGTTTAGACACTTTTTACGATATGCTGCACGCATCACTTATTTTACTTGTCGCGTGTGTAGTGCCGGTTATAGACATTCTCTTTCCGTACATGAATTAAAATGCGTTCGTTGTTCTGTCATTTAAAGCCTATAAACAGACTTATATTTTGAGGGTTAGATAACGAGCAGAGAGGGTGTCAAATAACTTCATGAGGGGAAATGTCAACTTTTCTTAGCATAGAAATACTTGTTAAATTTGCCATTTTGGTTTGCCTAATGTAAGTTTTGTGTAGGTGGTTGCAATCCGGGATATAGTGCCACCACCTCAGCGGGAGGTATTCAATGATGTTTACATTGCATATGAGCTAATGGACACTGATCTTCACCAAATCATTCGATCAAATCAAGCATTATCAGAGGAGCACTGTCAAGTATATATTTAAACATACCCCTTTTAAATTATACCCATTTATCGCTAAGTTTATGAAATCTTATCTCTGAAACCATTATAAGCTTTTTCTTTTCGTTTTTTTGTAGTATTTTCTGTACCAAATTCTCCGAGGGTTGAAGTACATTCATTCCGCGAATGTTTTGCATAGGGACTTAAAACCCAGCAACCTTCTCCTGAACGCCAACTGTGACTTAAAGATTTGTGATTTTGGACTGGCTCGTGTAACCTCTGAAACCGACTTTATGACTGAATACGTTGTTACAAGATGGTACCGTGCACCAGAGCTTCTGTTAAACTCTTCTGATTACACAGCAGCAATTGATGTCTGGTCTGTTGGTTGTATTTTCATGGAGCTGATGGATCGAAAGCCATTGTTTCCTGGCAGAGATCATGTGCATCAGTTGCGTCTACTCATGGAGGTAACCTCTTTATCCGTCATTGGTGTTTGAAGAAGTTCTAGAGTTATTGATTTATATTGGTTTTTGCAGTTCAAATTATTAACCTTCTGAGTTTGAAACCGACACATTATTAAAACAAAATAAAATTCACTGCAATAGTATACTTTAGATTAAGTTTGATTATATCAAGCAAGTGTATTAATAAAACTCCCATGTTTTATGTTTTACAGCTGATTGGTACCCCATCAGAAGCTGATCTGGGTTTTCTGAATGAAAATGCCAAGAGATACATTAGGCAACTGCCTCTTTATCGCCGCCAATCTTTCCAAGAAAAATTTCCGCATGTTCATCCTGATGCCATAGATCTTGTTGAAAAGATGTTAACTTTTGATCCTAGACAAAGAATTACTGGTAAGTATTCATTGCCAGAGCCTCTTTATTGATGGTTAAAGATATAACCATGTCCATACACATGCTTCATGAAATTTCATTCATAAGCATTTGCAACACAGCCCTTTGTTTCATGCACTTAAAATCCCTTCATTGACATTGTTTTGCAGTTGAAAATGCACTGGCACACCCTTACTTGACATCGCTGCACGACATCAGTGATGAGCCTGTATGCACGACCCCCTTCAGCTTTGATTTCGAACAGCATGCTTTGACCGAGGAACAGATGAAGGAACTGATATACAGAGAGGCTCTAGCATTCAACCCCGAGTATCAGCAGTAGTGTAGTCGTGAGAATGATGGCGGTGTTATGTCTGTGTCTGCGGTCCATAGGTCGAGAGATTTCTGTGTATATATATTATCATATCTATCATCTGAAACCAGATGACCTTGGAAGTTAATTATTTGATCATAGGTTTGATTGGTAGACTCTCACTGGAACACAATCATAAGGTATTTTGTCTTGTCTTATTTGTTTCAAATTATTCTCCAATTTATTGGTTTCAGCCAAGTTCTGATCAACTTTGTCACGCAACATATGCATTAATGGGTTATTTTATTTTTTTGGATTGAATTTTTTTCCTTCTGTTAAAGGTTTTTTCTCATGATTCTCACGTTGTCTTCTCTCATAATAAGCTTCATGATTTCTCACATGTTTGCTTTTTATTCTACTTCCCTCAATTGTATGGTTATTCTCACATTCATTAAAATATCTCACATACTCACTATGTATCATTCTCTCATCATGATATTTATGTATACTTTCATCATCAGTTTCAAACTCGCATTCATTTTGAGAAGACCTTCCATGATACGGTCTCACATAAAGAAATATGAACTCACAAAGCCAACTTACCATTGGAAAAGCAGTCTCTTTCTCATTATCATCTCTATCACTAATAATATCAATTGGATGATCAATCAAATTCATATCTCATGTATTTTTTTGATTAATTTTCTGCACACTGAATTACAAAAACAAATGCAATGAATGGTAAAAAAAATCAAAAGCACAACTAAAAAAAATCACAAACACTACATTTTTTGAAGAAATCTTAACACAATTGTGGAATAACTCAAGAATCTGATTTTTATTGAGATAAGAATTAGAATCCAAGGATGGAAATTGAAAGTTAATGCAACAGTAAGTGCGGAGGATTACAGAAATGCAAGAATTACGACGAAGAATAATTGATGGCGTAAGAGGTAGAAGAAATCTAGTGAAAGTGATGGCCAGATTTCTATAATATTCATTCTTGCCTTTAAGTTCTTAAGATAACCAAGCAAATCTCAATTAAACTTGTGGTAAACTTCTAACAAATGTGACAAAACACGAATGAAAATTATCATTCAATAGATCAAACAAGACAAGAGAATTTTGCAAGACAAACTCAAGAAACATAAAAGATAAGCAAGAGAAGGAAACAAAAAACAAAGATAGACACACTTAAATAGATTATTAATGAAACAACTCAAGATATATGTGGGAGGTAAGGTATTAGAATAAAACTTGCAATGACTAATAAATTCAACCATGATTGATGTTTTGAAATAGAAAAAAGAAAAATACACTTTGTATTTCAAAGACAAACAGAAAAGATAAGCATAGAAAGACACACTCAATATAATTATGAATTAAATAGCTCAAGAAAGATTGAAAATGACACAAATATGAAAAAAAGAATATACTAATATCAAACTTGTGATGTATAATAGATAAAAATATTTATATATAAAAATGGAACAGTTGTTGAAATTTAAGTTTTTTTTTAAAGACTTTTTTTATAAGTGCTTTAGTGTAGAATGACTTTTTCTTAGCATTTTTTTTCTTTTTTTCTGCATATTTGAATTCCTCTCTTTTTTTTTAATAATAAATATAGACCTTTGAATTTCAATAGTCGGACATGCATTGAAGAAATAACATAAAATATAAATTTGTAAACTTTAAATCAAACAATTACAAGTGAAAAAGATGAAATGATGTTTTTTTTTCTGCGTTTATTTTTTCAGCATCACCAAGATTTCAAAAGTCCACTAGTATTGAATAAATAATCATTAAAGTAAATCGTCCCACACATATTATAACACTTACAACCAAGTAACAATTTAAGATTAAACAAGATTTGTAACAAACTGAATCTAAAAGCTTAAATTATCAAGAACAATCAGAATATTTCATGATGTGGGAGAAAATACTTCCACAATTTAATCAATAATTTAATCAAGTAACTTCTTCTAACAAAGTAGTAAACTAAAAGAGAAACACAAACAAGAAAATATGAAATAAGAAATGGAAGAAATTATCACACTTAAAAATAAAACGGTAAGATCAATGTAGAATTATCTTAAAAATAAGAAGCTCTTGATAAAATTCAAGTTAGGTTGAGAAAAAGATTCTAGAGAGCATTTATCTAAACTCAAAAAAAGTCTTTTTCTTTTTTTTTTACTAAAATTGCCAAATGTTATACAACTAAAGACACGGTGCCTAAGATAACAAGTTTTTAAACACACAAACCAAACTTAATTTTTAATTTAAAGTGTTTTTCTTTTCAAAAATTTTAATTTAAAATATTATTATTTCATCCAAAAATAAAAATTAATCATAAATTAATTCTATGACCAAAATATTAGAATAATGGGGATCAATTTTTCATGTAACTTAAAGCCAAAAAAAAAACTGATAACTTGGTGCTGCAATTAACTTTAACTTTTAAGTCTTTCCTCTAGTTAATAATCCTTCCACTCTTAACAGATTCTTAGTTGCTTTTATAATAAGTCCTCATTATAGAGAGAGAGGGGAAAGGGGAGGGAGAAAGAGTTCGTAGCACTTATCATAATATAAAGAGAAGAGATATAAATTATACTCCTATAGTACTAGAGTATGTCACGTGAAATGTAGTCAAATTAATAAAGAAAAACTAAGAAATATTTAAATATTAATCAAGACATAATATATGCGATAACATTACAGCATAATTGTTGTCGCTTAAGGCTTGCATTTTGAGAAAAGCAGAAAGATATTGTTCTGAATCTGTAAGCAACTCCGTACATTCGTTGGGGAACACCAATAGAACTTAGAAAAACTCCTACGAGTGGTAGTTAAACCATTTCTTTTATATCACCCGGTCAGATTGCCCTATTATTTCAGGCTGGTAATGAGCTCCAAATCGAATGGAATTGAGCGGTATACACTTCAAGTCAAGATGAAAGAGCAATGCAGTTCATATGTATCCTCTTCATTCAGAAGTGTTTGTCAAACATCAAGATCGTGCAATTTGAAATCAGTAAAACTCAATGTCTATCTCTCTTCTCACACCAATTAACCAAAGAGACAATTAACTTCTTGAGAGAACACAGAATATAACATAAAATTACAAATCTGTAAAGAATACGCTGATCATAAAAGTAAAGCTGACTGTAATTTACTATTTGCATAAAAACAATTTTATGATACAAAACCAAGTATTTAACCACTATCAACTCTTGATGTCCCGAAGAATTTTGATAGGGGAACTGGTCCGCCACCATCTTCACTATCGGATCCAGAATCCTTGCTTTTTGACTTGTACTTCTTCTCCTTCTTTGATCGCTTAGACCTGGACTTGGATCTTCTTGACGATCTCTCTTCATCTTCACTACTGGAAGAGTATGAGGATGATGAAGAGGAGCTTGATGGAGAAGATCTTCTTGAATGCTACAATGAAAGAGGTAATTAGGAAAAAGTTACATTCACAACTAAAATGATTAGAAACATCAACTTTTAATTAATATTGCTTGGTCCTTTTCTCTCGTTCATCCAACAATAAACAAAACCAAAAGCCAAGTAATTGGAACCAGTTTGCTGCAACAATTATCTTTTGCAAAGTAATATACAAACCTAGAGTTAGTAGAGTTATATGTCGATTGCTCCCAACATAAATTGAAGGTGGTAAACAATTATTTCAGATAGACAGCACTTAACAAGTTAATATTAAGACAACACTGTCAATTTAAAAAGTTTTACATTGTCACACCACATCACGATTAATCATGTGTCACTTAAGAAGTGATTATAATAAAAAGTAAAATATTTCGAATAAACTGGCGGTTATGATTGATTGACAATATAAAAACTATTTACACCAACAGTGTAAATGAATTAAATCTTTTAAGGCAAAGCCGTTGATGTAAAGAAAATGGTTGGAAAAAGGCAGTGATGATCAGACTGAATGCATACTTTAAATCCACTTAAGACTTTAAGAAAAAGTAAACTCTACAAAATAATCATTTCATTAACCTCCACTTCTTTCAGACCACGAAATGACAAGTCATTGGAAAGGGTAAGCATTTCATCAAAACTAACTATTGAAGGAGCACACAGTAGCATGAAATGCCAGTTGAACGATCATTCAATCAAACTGAGTTCTTTATATCCAATACCAACCGAGTGAATGTATCAAAACTAGCTATAGGAGCACAGGGTACTTTTAAAAAAAAGGAGCACAAAATGCCATTGAATGATCATTCAACCAAACTGAGTTCTTTATATCCAATACCAAGGATGTTACCAAATCCCTTGCAGCAGCACACACTGTAAGTGCTTGAAGGTTCCAGCGGTAACAATGATAAACAGCCCCCCTATTAGCTCTTTGAAAAAGTGTGATGAGCAGACACGACCAAACAGGGGCTGCACCTTTGTGCTCATTGTGAAGGATTATCACATTCAATTATAATGGTGATGAACATATCAGATAGGTGTTTAGAGCGGAGACGTGCTTCACTGTTCAAAACATGTCCACCTAAGTTGCAAGTACTAAATACCGATAGCATAGATCTGCATGGAGGGAAGGACAATGCTCTCATTTAAGGTAATGAAGGAAGCAGAACCAAGGTTGGACCGAGAAAATGAAAGGACCTTTGATTGGTATGGAGATCGTCATTCCCGGAGTCCATTTTCATGGTTGAAGATGCTTATCCAAAGATGACTGGAAGAATGATTTTGCTAATCAAATTCCAACCATGCCCGATGACTAGTAAATGGGGCTCTTTCTCAGGGGATAGATTCAGATAGAAGTTATTAGAGTATTAGAATAGTACAGTGTAATAAATATGAAAATGCCTACATCAAGGGAAAACCGTAATTTCAATCCCAAGCAAGGAGGAACTTTATCCGTTAATAAATATGAAAATGGTTTAGAAGGAACCAATGGAGATTTTTCTTTGAGGCACATGCAATTTATCCTATCAAGAGCCTACAGAAAGGAGGAATGAGGAGTTAGTTAGGTTTCAAATGTGAGCATCAGTATATCCCCACCAATCAGTGCCCTAATCATGATTCATACTTGGGGATATTGATTTGGGAAGGGATGAATGAAAGTGAAGGGCCCAAGGAGTCTTTGTTAGCAGGAGATGCAAATAAGGTCAAGGAGATGGGAAACAGCCTGCAGTGTAATGAATGTTCAAGAAGTTCACTCATTACATACCGCCAAACTGCATTTGTTAGTTTTACCCAAAAGTACAACCAAGGAGTTCAAAGTTGGTTCAGAGAAAGTCCGTACGTGTTTTTTCAAGGAAGATGTAAAAATAAAAAAATAAAAAAAAAAATAAAAAAGATAATCAAGGTGGGTTGGACAAATATTTTCGTAGAGGCTTGTATTCTTGAAAATTCTGACCATATGTTAGAAACTGAGGGGACAAACAAATTCGGGAGTTTTACTCAAGAAAACTGGTAATGTTATTCTCAAGAGAATTGCACCAGTGATCAACACCACATTTGGCAAGGGAGATAGATTCCAATAAAAATAAAATGCCGAATCTTGTATCATCGGCAACAAGTTTAGAGGGCCAGCAATCAACATAGATGCCTATTACTAATTGGTTTATCATGTGGAAGTTCAAATATGCCAAGGAAGCAACTCAGGGGGAGGAAGATGACACTTGTAATCAGAGTTTTCCCATTCTGCCTGGCCTCAAGGCAGATTTTCAGGCTGATGGAATTGATGGGTGGTTTGATGGGTTCCAAGACCTGGTAAATAAAAAAGGAGCCTGATATGCCCCTAACGATCTACTTATGTGGGCCAACTCCCCTTTTAGGAGAGGGACTAAATTTTAAACAATAAATGAGAAGGAAAGTTGGTAAGAGGAGATAAATAAAGCATATCTACTATACAGAGTTCAGAGGCAAGAAGGGGAAGAAATATTTGCATAGGCACAAACCTAAATAGATAATAACTATTTAGGCACACATAAGTTAAATATCATTTAGCTATTATGAAAATATACATTATTTAATTAATTTATTCTTTTATTCATTTTCTTGTATGTGTGTGTGCCTAAATATTGTGCCCAAGCAAGTGTTGCTCAAGAAGCGGTTTTATGCTTTTCATTTCAATTTTTGCTTATAGCTTGGGGTCATAAGAATTTACCTTGACGGGAGCATTAGCTCTTACATTACATATTTTCTTCCGTTTACTTGTCAGTAATATAGTTTCCCTTTGTTATATAGGAAATATTCCTGTCATTTATGGAATATAAATGAACTTTTTTGAATGAAACTTGAAAGTCATTGACAAATTGGAGAATTATCTGTAATTAAACCAATTTGTCTTATAAGAGATTCAAAACAAAAGACACACAAGCCTTGACAACAATTTGAACATCATTGCAGACAATTTAAGCCTACACACTATAACTAGTTTGATATTATGGTTGCTGAAAACTAAAAGGAAAGTTAGCTAGCAGTTCATAATTGCATAATAGTTGAAAGGGTAGCTAGTATTTATGATAGTATGGTTTTTTAATGAAATATTTTGGTTCTTCTCCAGGAGTAAATGTTGGAAATCAAACGCACCTTTCGTTTTTTGCTACTATGCTTCTTCGAAATTTTGTCCCTCTTATCTGTGTAATAGAATATGCAACACTCATAATTAGAAACTGGGTATGGGAAAGGCCGCTAGAAAAACACAACTGCTTTCTGCTACTTTACCAAATTACCACACATACCTTTTGAATGTTTAGACTTACTACTAGAGTGATTTCTTCCCTGGGAAAGTTTGCGAGCCCTTTCAGCATCTAGTTGAGCCCTGTACTCCCTCATCATCCTATCAGCATCTGCTTCCAGCTCCCCTTTTTTCAGTTCTTCTTCCTAGTAAATAAAGTACAACAAATCAAGTCAAACACAAATTAAATAACAGTACTAATGCCCAAAAAATTGGTACACAAAATATCCCAGATTAAGATATAGGAAAGGCATGCAATAAAAAAGGTTTGACTGATAAAAGAAACAGTTAATGAAGGACAACTTATGCAAATCAAATTATCAAAGTTTTAAGAAATTAAGTAGTATGAATAAACAAGTAGAAAGGTTAATGATCTAACCCTTAGGCAGTGTTTGTTCAAGTTTAGGAATGACATTACCGGGAACACGAGTAGTCAATGACTGTACCCAGGTTTGTTATAAGGTTGAGAAAAAACATATTCTTGGGTGTAAAGGTTCCCAGGAATGGGATAACTTCCATAATTCCTGTGAATTAACTCCCGGGAGAGAAGGGGGGAATGTCTGGAACTTTGTGTTTTTTACTTAAAAAACTATAACTAATAACTTAGAAATATTCAATTGTTTGCTGAATGAACACTTTTAGTAAAAATACCCAGGAATCAATCTTTATATTCCCGGATAAGTTATTCTTGGGAATAACTTTTGAGTCCATGAAACGAATATTCTCTTAAGTTAGCATGTGAAGTTAACTCTTACAAAGGGTAAAACAGAAACTCCATAGAGAGAATTTTCACAAAAAAATCTTTCAAATAATAAGTGGAGTGGATAGGGGTAAGGAAATCCATGTTCCGACAGGTGCTTAATTTTTCAAAACCAAATCTAAATATCATTATAATTATTTGGAAGTGTGCCACACATGCACACACAAAGATCATGAGAGGTTCTACTATTTCAAATGAAGGCCCAGAACAAATCTGAGAATGAGGTTGAGGGCAAAGGGGATTTCAGGTCTCTTAAAGTACAGCTTGGGCAACATGCGTGAGCCAGCTAAACCCATCACAACAAGGCTTGTCTAGCCCTCTAATAATTCCCTGACAAAAATACTTTGGTCTTGCAATGTAACAATCCCCGGCATTGTCAGAGTTGGGTGGTGCAACGAAACTTGAAAGAAGGTGTAAACAAATGAGTAAACTGTGATCTGTACAAGCGTGGTGTAAAACCCTATTTTAGTCTCTATTACTATTCACTCGCCGATTTTTGTCTCAATTTGAAATTCTCATGTTTAAAAATATGAATCTGGCAATGCTAGAAAATAAAACAAGTAAATGAAGAAGAAATTTTAAAACGAGTAACATTGGAGAGGAGAGAAAATGTGTTTATAAACTTAAAGACGTTGACTAAAATAACCTTACATTAAATGTCATATGAAATGTTAAAAGGGTTTAAAATGTAAATTAGCACCTCCCCTCCATTAAACTCAATTATCTGTTATCGTTATAAGCTAAAATCATAAATTCCCCTCATATATACACAACATAGAAAAAAAATGTAATTCCAATTTACTTGTTAAGAATAAATACACAAGATTTGTGAAAAGAGATTACCTTTTGTTTCTTTTTGTATTCTTCCCAGGTGATTGTGTGAGAGGTTTTAAGGCTAGCCAAACGGGCAGCATGCCACTCTGGTGAATGAAATGAACCATCCACCTGCGACAGTCCTCATCAATAACGGTCCAGGAAAAGAAAGCAATCCAACATTCGAGCATTATAATGCAAAACAATCCTATCATACAATATATACACACATGCAGTAAGACAAGAATAACAAATAACACGGTGAGATTCAAGCTTGTGGCTTAAAATATCACTACACAAGTTATTTTTTCACTTGATGAATCTCATATAAAGGTTTTTCCAAGCTATCAAGGATACTTAATACAAATAACTTTTGCTTTAATCCCTAATACTAAGACAATAAAACCAAGCACAAACTCGTATAACAGCAATTACGAAAGGGAATTGGGAAATAGCCAATGATACAGAAAAAGGGAGATCGATGGGTGTTAAGAACAGTTGAACGAAATTGGAAGAGGATAATATGGAAGGGTACAAACCATGCCATCTTCAACCTCGTCAGGGCCGCCGGAGGCACCGCCAAGCCTAGCTCTCTGCATAGCTTTGTAGGCTTGATTTTTCCCCATTGTTTTTCAGGTAGATAGATCGATTTCTTTGTGGATTATGATCATGCACTACACTCCGACAGAGTTAGACACCGATTCGGTTGAAATTATTGTTGCTAGGGATTTGATTTGGTTTTCTCAATCGCTTTGCAATGTGCGAGGGAGCTGCCTCTTGTTCTGGTTTGTTATCAGTTTCATGACAAAAAACGATCTTTCTGTATGTATGGGCTGCACCCTTTTTCTCGCTTGTGTCCTATGGATCCCTTCCTATATGGGCCTCAACCATTCTTGCTGTTTTTATTTTATTTTATTTCTTAATGTATATATATATTATTTAAACATCACGTAAAAATATTAAAATATTATTCAATTTTAGAGATACATCTCCGAATGTATTTTAAAATATATTAAATACATGCGCAAGTGAATCTTACCCTTATTTTATAAATAAAAAATCCGAAAATACATTTTTAGAAATTTTTATCAACGTAAGGATAATTGTTGGTCACCGTGAGAAGAAAGTAAAGGTATTGGTAATGGAACACCATAACATTTTATGGAGATACATCCCTGGATTTCAGATTTGTATTTTTAAACATTTTTTAGGCAAAATAGAGGTGTCTCACATGCAGGGTCTTTGTTTGTGCGGTTTTAAATTTGTTTAGAGATGCATCTTCGAAATTTGGGGGGCATTTTCGAATTTTTATACGATGTTTTTCAATCGCAGAGGGTGCAGTTAGAAATTTCCTTTTTTGGGAATTTCTTATCTCACCATATGGGGTGGAAAAACACCCTATAAAAAACTCAAAATTGTCTTTCAGTTTTCGGAGATACATTTTCGGACGCATCTTGTCTTAAGTCAAAACTTTAACTGGTACAGAGATACATCACTGAAATATTTTAAAACACAACACATGCATCTCTGATGTTGTCTCTAGCACATCAGTGCCTCTCTGACGGTGTATCTGGTACAACATTGCCTCTCGTGCCTCCGTTATAATGGCATTTAGGACCTCCCTCACCTCTCAGGAAAAATACCTCTATCAATGCTTACTTGTACAATCTCCACAATGCAACATCTAAGAAAAACATCATGAGCATGATCTAACCGTGTTTGCTCCTTCTTTAGTATCTCCTAATGAGCTGACCTCGATGGATCTCCTGAAGTAGCCTGCACATAATACGGATGTGACACCTTGAAGAACCACTTGATGTGCCCGTCGACATAGCTCAAATCGCTCTCAACTATGGTACTTTGTGCCTCCTCTAGTACCAGATGATTAAGATAACCATCAAAGATGGTATCCATATCTCTATGTGTCATAGCAGGAGGAGCAGAGACATTAGGGTGTTCGGGAATAATCTGAGTGTAGCCAAACTGCCTCATAACGCGCTCAAGAAGATGAGTAAATGTCATACGTGAACCGTAAGTCAACCATCCAAAATATAACATTATGTCGTTAAATGGTCGCGTCTCACAATGATCAACATAGATGTTAAAGTGTATATTATTGGCTATCAAGTGGTCAAGATACACTTGAAACGACTCTATCACCTTGTTTCCTCTGAGTGGGGCAAATGTAGAAGCACGTGGCATATCCTCAATATAGGCCGGTTGCAAAAATACATGGGAAGTGCTGGAGAATCTAAACCTGAAAAGTGTTGAAATACACGAATCATCAGTAAGGGCGTTGCAAAAATGTAATTGAAAAGACACAAAAACACTAAAAAGCCAATAAATATTACCATCAAAAGTGTGATGTTTCATGTCACCTGCTTCGTCTTCCACCTAAAACCCTCTAATAACTTAGAGTACCAGTAGACCAAATAAGTGACCCTCTAGTTGTACTCATGGATCCACTCAAAGTCCTCGAAGTACTATGGGTAGACAACATCCACATTAGTGGCACTCTTGTCCATAAAAAATGGTAGTGAAAATTAAATATAAAAGGTATGCTCGCATAACATACGTTATATGCAGCCCAACCTACTCGTCATCACCTTTAGCCTACTCTGATATAAGTAGCTCGTCTGTATATACCTTTTTTCATAAATTGAAACCTAGCATGAGCCCTTATGGTTTTTTCCATCTCCCTTAAGGCAACCTCTAGGTTAACTCTCAAATAGTCTACCATCAAGTCGAGTGTCTTATCTTTAATAATCCTCCCATGATATAAGAGTTTCCCCTAATCAAAAGATGAAGCAGACACAACACATCGTCGAGTGTGATAGACATATCACCAAGTGGTAGATGAAATTATGAGGTCTCAGTGTGTCGTCTCTCCATGAATGCGTTAAGCATCATATCGTGTACTGCAACATAATTGGTCTTGCATAAGTCTTTCATCCCACATAGGGACAAAGGACCCTGAAACTACTCGTCATTAGGTCGATGCAAGCTAGTAATCTTCCGCCCATGGTTAATGAATTTCATCGGATCACAGTCCTGCAAGAAAATAAATCTGTGTCTGAAACTTGTAATATAATAATAAACGTAATTTTAAAAAATGTATCCATTTAATTTTAACTATTCATCCCAGATATGTCTGGCAGTATGGTTGGGGTAAATAGGCAATAGTGACAACTCTAAAAGGCCTTCTCAAAATACATGACATGGAAATTCCTCGTTAACTTTAGCAACCTGAGATGGCATTGGCTCATCGGCCTCATTAGCTTGAGGTGGCACTGGCTCATTGGCATGAGGTCCCTCTGGTGTCTAGGGTGACATTGGTGACTCAGGTACTTCTAGCGCCTGAATAGGTGAAACCTGTCAGTGATGCGTCGCAAGGTGACACCCGTCTCCTACAGGAAGAAAAACATGGAGATGTATGAGCCCTAAAAGTCGATGCATCCGCACAAACCAGGCTAAAGGGATTAGGAAACTCTGAAACCAAGCTTTTTTCCCTCCATACAAATACATGATGTGCAATCCTCTCGTGCCTCAGTTTGTCGTCTTTATTAGCCATAACACATGTAAGTAAATCAGACAAGTGTCACACAATTACTACAAGCAACCCTACAAGCAAGAAGAAAAAAAACAGACAAATAAATTACAGAGATGCATCTTCGATTCTTGGGAATCCAAACGTTGAAAAATTCCAAAGATGCATCTTCTGAATTTCCTGCAACTTTCAGCTACGTCTATAACACCCCGGATTTAATCATGATATTTGAATTTAGTATTTAATTGAACATATTCATGTTTCGGTAAATTTCTGGTGGTTTTGTGAATATTGGAAAATGTGCATTTTCGGGTATTTATTTGATTAATAGCATATAATATTAATTTATTAGTATTATTATTAATTAAATGGAAAATAAGTGAAATAAGGGCAATTTGGACATTTGAGGAAGTTAGTAAGGGTAATGAGGGAAAAGCCCAATGTGTGAGGCCCATGACTAAGTTAGACAAAATAGAGTTCTGAGAGGAAATTGGAATTCATTTGTGTTTAATGTGAAAGTTTGGTGTGGTCAGAGCTCTGAAGGAAAGGTTGAAGGCAGAAGATCCCGAAGTTAATCGTGAAAGCTGCGAATCGACTAAGGTATGGGGAGTATCGCATTTCATGATTTTCTATGTATGTCTTTCAGTGTGTTTATGGTGGGGTTTATGATTTAGGGTATGTTGGGTTGATTTTGGAGAATTAGGGAAATTGATGAATAGACTCTGAGGTTATGATTGATGATATGTATCCCTGAATATTGACATGAATTTAGGAAACCTTATCAGACTGTTTGATGTGTAACATGATAAAGGAAACCTTAGGCCTTCGTGGCCAAAACATTGGATTGTGATATGTTTGACCCTATAGGAATAGGAATATTCAAATGTGAGTGACTCTGATGCACTCAGAGCAATTGCAGGAAAATAGTGTTTTAGGCAGTGCAAATGTTGCTAGATTAGCCTAATAATCTGTGTTGTTATCGCCGTATGACCTTAGGGATGATTTAGGGATGTTTTGGGGGCATGAGATGTGTGAATCGTAGGAGTTTTGGGGTGGAAATTGTAACACCCCCTTTCTATACCCCCAAATAAACAAGTAAATCATTTAACACGTATTAAAATTTCATCAGAGTATAAATAAAATATGGTATAAAAGAGGTATGTCACATCATCACGAAATTAACATACAACACCTGCTCGATAAAAGACATGCAACAGTGGGGTAGTTTCAACAGAGGAACTTAGTCCCTACACCCACATTTCAATATTTAGAATTAAAAGCGGAAAATCTAAACATTGAATCACTTTAAACATGTTAATTATATAAAATACATATCATTCAGTTTGATTCACCACATCATTCATGTTTACATAAACATTTGTCATCAGATACATATACAAATGTGTCTCAAAAGAATGCTATACAATCCTAACTACCCGTTGCTACATATCAGAGCTTAACCGACCAAAAGAATGAAGCTATACTTCACAAAAGACTTCTATCAAATCTAATCTGCAATGCCTCATAGAGCATTATAAAACAGCAGAAGGGTGAGAAATATTATCATAATAATCAATGCAAATAATCACACATATATATACACAAGCATAAAATACACATATTCCACATTCTCTCACCACAATTCATTTTAATCATTATATACATTACAATGTATGTTTAAACAATTATGGATAATCACCAAGCCTATTTCCTCATACATACATCCAAGTCCTCAACTCAATAATTCACACACAAGCATACTTTCATATAACAATGATATCTACGCCATGTGACTCATATAAAACTCATCAATTCTCACCAATCTCCATTTGGGATTATGGGTACATCGTTTATACCCCACCAGGAATAACATCTCAGTTATTCTACCCCGGTGATTATTCCACTAGGAACGACATCTTAGTCATTCTACCCCAGTGTATACGACCATGTCACTCTACCTCACTAGGAACAACATTTGTCATTCTACCCTAGTGATTACTCCACTAGGAACAACATCTTGTTATTCTACCCCAGTGATTACTCCACTAGGAACAACATCTTATTATTCTACCCCAGTGA